CCGGGCGCCGCCTCCTCCCTGCCCGCAGCCACGTGCCCGGCTCCGCGGGTCCGGCCCCGGCCCCGGCTCCCGGGACGCGGACACGCACAGCCCGCCCCCGCGCTCAGCACCCGGCACCTCTGCACACCCCTTGCCCACCGCACCACGCGCCGGTACACACCGCCTGTCCCTGCACGCCGCACCAGGCACTTAGGCGCACAGCCTGCCCCGCGCACAGCACTGTGCCCATGTACACGCACGGCCCGCCCCTGCGCACGGCACCGGGCGCCTGGACACACCCCTTGCACACCACACCACACCACACACCTGTACACACACAGCCTACCCCTGCACACACTGCACTGCACACTCTGCTGCCACGTCCCCCCACCCACAGCACTGCACACTTATACACACCCAGCCAGCCCCTGCACACAGCACCACGCACTTGTACACACACTCACACACACACATACACAGCCTGCCTCTACACACACAGCACCGAGCACCCTGCTACCGCGTCTCCACGCGCACCATGCGGAGGGGCAGCACCACGCACCTGCGCGCGCACAGCACCAGCACCGGTCCTACCACGTCCCCCCACACAGTGAACGGGGGCAGCTTCTCCACTCACAGCACCGCGTGCTTGTGCACACACAGCCTGCCCCTACCCATAGTCTCCCGGACCCCTGCTGTCACCTCCACACTCCCCTCCGTCTCTATATCCACCCTCTATATGCCCTCTGTCCACACACGGTCGCTACACACACGTGCACATAACACCAGTGCTACTGACCACTATGCATCCATACATCCATACGTGCACGTCTATGCAGCCTGCTTTTACACACACAGCACCAGCACTATACACCATCCTCCACCTACGCTTACCACCTGCACACACACTCTGCCTCTTCAAACCTATTACCACGAGGTGCCATCAATGCTCATGCTGCCCTCTGCATTCAAACACTGCCCTTCTGTGTACCAGCTACACACACACTGCCTACCACTTCCACACATCTTGCCTGTGTACACACACCATAACATAGCCAATGCTACCTTCCCTACATACACACCACCTACCCATTCTATCTCCATTAGCCACATGACTCATCAGCAGTACACACAACCACTGCATGACCAAGACAAAGTACCACCATTGCACATCTGTACATACACTTGCCTCTCCCCACTCTGTGTGTGTATAACATACAGTCTAGTAAACGCTGGTCTCATGTCTCTGTAACTGAACATGATGTCTGGGTTTGGACCATAAATTCTCTGACTACTGGTGACTGTTCATCTTACTTTCTTATTTTTATTTATGTTCCAATATAAAAAATGAATATATCAAACAGCACCATCACATACCCTTGCTACAGTATACAAATGCATGTGCACATATGCATGCATCATGTCATGACTTCTGATCCATCCTAATGAAATATACACATGCTCACATATCACCACCACATTGCTGTATCACTGTTCCCTGTCACATGCACATAGATTACCTCTACTCATCAACACACTTCAACATGGCACAAACACTGTGATTACCACCGCACAAATTTACTCATATCACCACAACACATATACACTGCCATCTATCCAGCACCAGATTCATCACTATTCATACATCTTCAGCATCTGTTCACTCCAGCATACTCACAATTCAAATCCCCAGCACATACCCACTCTCACACAAATACAAGTTCAAAATTTATCCTTTCTAAAGCTTATGAATATTCATACTGACTACTGACTATATTCTATTATACTGACTACCTCTTCACTCCAGTACATGCATGTACCCCCTCCAATGAATCCTCTTCATCATTACTTACTTACCGTGTGCTTCCCATCACATCCCCATGGACCTCATCATCTGCTACAAATGGACACACACAAGCACAACCTCACTATGTGTGCACAGGCTAACTGCTTACCTTCAGTACTCAGGCACCTGCATATAGACAGACATACCTCAACAAATAATTGAAGTTTGCACATTGCCCACTACAACAGATCCACATATGTGCTATTTACCCCAACATTCACCCCCTTCATCCTTACTATTTACTTTCACATGAACACATCCCCCACACACCCATCATCATCAGCTCCTACCCACTCCAACAGTCACACAAACCTGTCCACACATCCACATCTATCATTACAACCGCTACCTCCTGCCCCGCCCCCCATTTTGCATGATTCTCTGAAAAGTAGATCCTAAAATATGTTTATATATAACATGGTGATGCTATAGTAAAAGTCTGTTCTGCTGTATCTGTAATTGCTCATACTTTCTGTGTTTGGACTATAGTGACTTTTCATAATTGTGCAGGCTGATTTTCTTTATTTTGATTTATGCTCCAATATAAAAAAATGAATTTATTAAGCAGCATTTGCAAATTATCCAAATATTCCTGCATATAAGTGTTTTAGCTATGTGCCAGAGCATTTGAGGATGTAAAGCAGTATTTTCACAAAGAATTGATTCTTATCATTTGGGTTCAGGAGCAATATGCTAACATTTGGGACATAGATTACCATGAAAGAGATTCACATTTGAACAACACTCATAAAAATCTTTACTCACAATGTACTTCACAGCACTATTTAAAAATCTAGTGTTATATAAGTTTAACTGGAGAAATGATTTGCATTGGATCTATGTTCTGTGAGAACATGAATCAGCTTTCAGCGACTAATAGGCACTGGGGCTTGAATAAATAATTGCAAGCCTATCAAAACATCTGATTGCTTCAGACCTTTTAGTCTACTTGAAAATCTGTAGTTCAAATATAAATCAAATACTGGCTCACAAGAGCATTTATTTTAGTACACATGGGCATTTACTTATGGAATATTGTTTAAACATTTTGTTTTTTCACATTGTTTCAGGTATTCTGAATGGAAATGTTACATCTTTTAGATTGTACTGCATGAAAATCACAGCAAAAAGATCAGTCCCCAGACTGATGGTGCATTAACTGAACTGTCATCACCAGAATACTTTCATTTTTTGTCCATCATTTCACCCCTCCTCCTATTTAATCACTCATGCAGAAGGGTTTTTGGATTCTCTCTTCATGTTTCATGGCAACCTTACACAATGTTTACCTTAGAGCCTTCCCTCTGTATCTCATGAACACCGGATGAGCTGATGCGAAGAAAAAGAAATCATATTGAAACTGTTCATATATTAAGTTTACAAATCTGAAATAATAGGTGTGTAATGTCCAGTGAAGTGAATGGCAGCTGTGGATTGATTTCAGTATGTATTAGCTCTGGCCATGGGCAGACCCAGGAGGTGAGCCTCCTTCAACTGTGACCACTCTTGCCTTCAGCTGTGCAGCACATGTGCAGTGAGGTCTCTAAGCCTGCTGGCTTATCAGCCCCACCACTGCTCAGCTCCCATCCCCTTTTCCCTACTGCTGACTTCAGTGGCCCACCAGAAGAAATTGGTGGTGACATTCACTCCTAGGGTCCCAGAGCTGCACTAAAGCAGCAGCTCCATCTAGACCTGCACTTGTAAGTTGGTGAGCTCAGAGAGCTCACTATACATACGCTGCATAACTGACAGGGGATGCAGCTAGATCGTCTACAACTCCCTGGATCCACCCCTGGGTCTGACCTTAATTAAGCCCTTATTTTAGTTTTTACAATGGAATATATTTGTCCATTGCTGGTCAATTTGTTTTAATGTTAACTCCTTGAGGTGCTTGCACACATGATGAAAATTGCCCATTTTTGTGGTTTAATTGCATCACACTTTAAATGTATGGGGTTTTTTTGCAATATAGATCAGTTTGTTATGCCGTAAACTAAACCACATTCCCATGTAGTTTAGTTTGTGATGTAGCTACTTGTAATGTTGCAGCCTTTAATCTGACAGCTCGCCCCCCCGGCCGCAGGAGAGGCGGGCTTAAGGCAGAAGCAGTGAGGGTCTTGATCCTTTTTTATTTGTTTGTGGAGCCTGCTCATCTCTCCTGCAGCTGGGGGGGATGAGCTGCCAGTGGACTGAGAAGCCCCTGACCTGCAGGGGAGCTTGGTCCTTCCCTTTGTGATAGTGGTGCTCCCTGGGGCCACCTGAGTGGGCTGCTGGTAGGCTGGGGGCTGCCCCAGCTCAGAGGCAGCACCCACCAGATAATTAGAGATGCGTAGGGGGTACATGTGGGTGCACATGCACCCCCTGAGATTGGCGGTGCACCCCCTGAAAGAAGCATCACTGATGCTGCCAGCAGTGCCTGTGGGTGGCCACCGGTTGCCACCCTCCCCCCCGCCAACACTGCCAGCGGCATCTGCAGGCGGCCACTGATTGCTGCTGGCCACTGCCGCTGCTGATGGCAGCATCTGCTGGTAGTCGCCAACTGCTGGTTGGCACTCACCACCTCCTCCCACCACCGACACTGCCGCAGCCACCTATGGAGCTCACTGCTTGCTGCCTCCATTGCCATCTATGGGCAGTTGCCATGTCCCCCCCAGCCTCTGGGGGCACCAGATCCACGTCTTCCCTGAGTCTGCTAGGGTTTCCATATGCCATGCACTGTCCCTGCCACCTTCTTTGGCCACCAGCATACCCATCCGCCCTCCTGCCACTTCCCTGCTCTGCCCCAGGGGCAAGCCAGCCCTGTCCTGGTTGGTCCCAGGTTTCAGGAAAGTGGCAGAAACAGTGCGGGCAGCACTGGAAGGCTTGGTGGGCTTGGGGAAGAGTTGGATCCAGTGGGTGCTGCCTCTGAGGTGAGGTAGCCTCCAGTCGGCTAGCTGTCTGCGTTGGTGACCCTGGGGAGTGCCACCACCATGAAGGGAAGGACTAGGACCCTCCAGCAGCTCATGCAGGCAAGCTCCACTGGGAAAAAAAAGGCGGCAATGGGCCTGATTCTTTTTTTTTTTTTTCTTTGCAGAGTCTGCCTATAGCTGGGGGGGCGAACTGCTGGTGGGGCGAACTGCCGGTGGGGCCTGGTCTTTTCCTCCACAATGGCAGCTCCCCCAGGGCCACCCAGGTGGGCTGCTAGCAGTGCAGGGGCTGCTCCAGCTTGGAGGCTGCACACAGCCTGATCCAACTGCTCCCCGAGCCTGAGCTAGGGCAGCTCCCAGCCTGCTAGCAGCCTACCTGGGTGGCCCCAGGGGGTGCTGCCACTGTGGAGGGAAGGACTGGGGCAGCTTGTCCGCCAGCCACAGGAGAGGCAGGCCGGCTTCATGGAAAAAAAGACAAAGGATCGGGTCCCTTGCCATAACAGGGATGAAAGCCCCTAAATTGAAACTGTGGGTTTGTAATCATCGCAATTAAAAACTCACCATTTCAGTTTGGGACCTAAACCCCTGTCATGTGTACAAGTGCCCTTGGAGTGCTAACAGGTAGCCTGGTTTTCTTTCTGCTTGGCAGATGGGAGTTTTACCCGCTAGGCAGATGGGAGTTAAGTTACATATAGATTTGGACACAGTATGATCTATTGTGACTGCAACAATCTGAAATAAATTATCTCTAAATTATAGCTCCTGCAAGGATGCTAATCTCATTAAACTTTCTGTGCATAGCTGGTTCCCAGTGCATACCCAAGAAAATAAAGTGATGAAGTAGTCATTCTTATGGCAAATTACATATATTGCCATATTTTCTGCATCTGAAGCCTTTATTTTTCCTTTCAGGCAAGCACAAAATGTTATCAGGAAATTAAATATTAAACGTAAGTACAGAGTTGCATAATTAATTGAAAACCGAAGCAATTAATTGTGTGAGAGGCAAGGATTTCTTAGGGTGATTTACCTCTCAGGTCAATTTTGTATTATAACCTGTATAACTACTGCCATTAGGGGAGTTATTCCTGGTTTA